TAGTTGCCTTAGAAATAAAGAAATTAAGGTGTTGGAGGTGTGTGAGAAATAGTGTCGAGACGAGGGGTGTTATGAGTAACTAATTAGTAATATTAGTTAGTAATTATTTTGTTTAAAATAATTTAGCTGAAATTTTTTAGAATTAATAATAAATAGTAATAGTTAAATAGTTATTTAACTATGTTAATCATGTAGTGTTTTATTTTATTATTGGTGAATAATAATAATAGTGGTAATATATTATTAAGTGAAATAATATATGAAGAGATGTGAGGGCAAGGAAGTAAATTTCGTAAGATTTAGTAAGGATAGTATGGGACTCTCATAATAAGCGTCCACAAGTTAAAGTAGGAGAGGAGGAAAATTAAAAAGAAGATTCATTGTTGGAACGGTCGTGTTTTGGAGAAAAGAGAAATGAAAGAGAGAAGCATAGTTAGGGCTTGGAGAACCACCATTAGAGAACCTTCGAAGAACACCAATTGAGGTAAGGTTGGGGTTTTCAATTACTTAAGGACTGTATAATATGTATATGAGGGTGGGTGTTTGAAATTGGGATTATGAAATTGTGTGAAGTTGTATGGAATATTTGTATTTTAATGCAATAGAATGTTAGTAATCATGTAGATGAATGAGTATATGAAAATTGAAATGAAAATTGTGCACTGTATTGAGTTTAGGGATGTTTGGATGGAAAATAAGTGATTTTTGTACCATAAAAGCAGCAGAAAACTGCTTATGGGCAGTGGAAATTGGTTTCCCTGTTTGAGAAAACCGATTTCCAGAACAAAAATTGCAAAAAATGGCCATTGGGAGTGAGGAAACCGGTTTCCTAGTTTGAGGAAACCGATTTCTTGACTGATTTTTAAAAAAACTTGTAAAATTCACAACTTTTGACTCGCGTGTTCGATTGACGCACCATTTAAAGTTGTTGAAAGCTAATAATGTATACCTTCTAGTAGAAATGGTTTCATATTTTGGAAATGAATTTAATTGATATATAATGAGGTGTTTTGGGTGTCAATGTAGGAAGTCGGTGTTTACATTTCTTGTAAAAACTAAGAAAATTTATAACTCGAGCTGTGAGTGTCTGATTGATGCGTGACTCAAATCGTTGGAAATCTGGTTCAACATTATTTAAACTAAAATTAAATTAAATACCAGAGTTCCAACTATTCGACGCATGGACTTGGGTTCAAAATGTGTCGAGCTGTGTTGTTATGTGGAATGCTACAAACTCCTAGTGATTTGTTTGATTTGTCGATGTATTGTTATAATCGTAATGTTGTTTTTTTATTATTAGTTACAACATAATAATTTGATAATATGTTTGGTGAATTATGATACTATGATGTCGCTTTGTTGGATGTATGCAAATGTGTTGTTAATGTCTGCTATGTCAACATATTGATGATGATGTATGCGTTGGGCAGGTAAAGGTTGCATATTGGCCAATAATGAAGAGGTGCATAGACTATGGTGATGGTCTTTGTGTGGGTTGTTGTATTGCATTGTGTTTCATGCATATTATATTACTCTGCGAATTGTTGCAAATGCTTTGTGAGTTTCTTGTTATGTTATTGGTTGTTGTGTTGCATGTAATTAGCATGTGTTTGGTGTGTATTGGTCGTTGTCAGTGAAGTGCACTGACTATAGTGATGGTCAATATACATGTTGTTGTGTTGCATAATTAATGTTGATCTCATAATGATGATGATGATGTTGTTGGCCTGGTGAAACAATCAGGTGGAAATCATCAAACAATAAAGTCTCCATTGAACGTCTTTTATCCCATGTGAAGGGAAAGCTAAACATCAAGAAAACCTGAGAAGGGAGAAGTCACGGTCTTGCGATCGAGAGATCGGGTAAGGGAGTCTGTTACGTGAGGTGAAGGTATTAGAACCCCACACGCATGTAGTACTCTATGGTATCCACTCTAGTTATCTATATTATGGGTGTGTTTAATTTATGCTTACTGCTTACTGCTAAGGAAGAACGCATACAAAAGAAAGGAGAAAATAATGTAGGGAAAATAAAGTTGTACTCGCTTGGGACCTACCCTAATGCCTACATATCCTTTTCGAGGAATCGAAGTTACCGTAGTTCGGCTCGCATGTTTTTGTTTGTTTGTGTTTTTTATGAACAATGTTAATTCTGCCTTCTGCCGCAGCTCGACCTTTGGAGACTTACGCGTTGGCACGGAAGTAAATCAATCATGTCCTTACCTGAAAAGAGTTTTTAGAGAAAAGGTGCAACCCCATCAAATGAGGGGGACAATCAAGAGGAGAAGCTAACGGAAGAAAACAACAATCCAGGGTTTGAGGAAGATGAAGCTGATTATTCCGAGGAGCAGTATCCTCCTGCTGATGATAAATACAAACAACTGGAGGATCGGCTCAATGCTATAGAGATCCAAATGGTACCCGAGATGGATTTTGAAGAGTTAGGACTGATCTCAGGGGTGGTCATCCCTCAGAAATTCAAGGTCTCCGCCTTTGCTAAGTATGACGGTGTCTCTTGCCCTAATATGTCAGGAAGATTCAACCCCATACTACTGATAGGAATCTGTGGGTACATTTCTTCCAAGAAAGTTTGGCAGGGATTCAGCTAGAATGGTTCTATCAACTGGAAAGAACCAACATTCGTAGTTGGGAAGATCTGGCTGCTGCTTTCTACAAGCAGTACCAATATAATGGTGACCTCTCCCCAACTCATACACAGTTACAAAGTATGTCTATGGGTTCCGACGAAGTTTTTAAAGATTATGCCCAAAAATGGAGAGATCTTGCGGGAAGAGCCCAACCTCCGTTGTCTGATAGAGAGCTGGTGGACATGTTCTTGGGCACGTTGTCTGGGCCGTTCTTCTGCTGGGTTCACTGAGCTGATACTGACTGGTGAACGGGTAGAAGCTGGCATCAAAAGTGGTAAAATCCAGAGGGATGCATCCTCCAGTATAGCAAAGAAACCTTTCACTGGAAAGAAGGAGGTCAGTGCTTCTTACAGCCAAAGAAATCAAAATAAAACTGAACATCGTCCGATGGTAAGGCTGTTATGATTTCCAATCCTGCATCTAACCAAAAACGAAATAATCAGCACAGTCTGGATGCACCCAGAAGACAGTTTACCTAGATCAACATGACCTTATCCTAGGTATTGCCACACCTACTGAAGTCCAATTTGGTGACCCTAAAGGAGGCTCCTAAGAATCCCAATACTGCATCTCCCCGCTATAACCCAAATTCCTGATGTGCCTACCACTTTGAAACTCCGGGGAATGATACAAATGATTGTTGGCCTTTAAAGAATAAGGTACAGGATCTCATTGAGGCGAAGGAGATTGAGTTTGACCTTCCAGAGACATCTAATGTAATAACCGCACCAATGCCCAAGCATGGCCAAGGTGTCAATGATGTTGATGATGATCGGTTTGTTTCCTCTGTAGATGAATTAGATACTCCTCTTCTAATTGTTAAAGAGAATTTGTTACGAGTCAGTTTATTTCCGGGTTGTGGTGAAGGTTTCCACTTATGTATGTATCTACCAGATGGCTTTTTGTTGTTAAAAATGGGCGTCCAGCGCCTGATGGTTAACAAAGAAATCCTGCTCGAGAAAGCTTCTCTTGCAAGAAATTCATGTGAAGATGTCTCAACAATTACCATTTTCGACAATCCTCCCAGGGTCTCCACCAAAAGACCCGTCAGGATTACATCCATTCCCAAGGTATCCTTATCTACTTAACATGTGTTCACTAATCTAAAAATGTTCTTGTCAATTCCATTGAATATAGCATTCAAGGCTCTAGAATTTCCAAGAGCAATTTCATCCTCTTCTTTAGACCAATCTTCTTCTGGCTTTAACTCAGAAGTAGGTTCTCCATTTTCTACCAATTTGACAGGGTGTTTCCATCCTTTTAAGACAACTTTCCAAGCCCTACTGTCCAAAGACTTTAGAAAGGCCACCATACGTGGTTTCCAATAGTCATAATTGCTTCCATCCATAATGGGTGGTCTGCTTACAAATCCTCCTTCCTTGTCCATAGTACTAGAAAGTATCTTCCCTAAATCTCACCCAGATATAGAGCAGGATGCCTGCTCTGATACCAATTGAAATTCTGGTATCAGATATGTGATGTCGAAGGAGATGTCATGACACAAATATCTGAGGACAATATAAAATGCAACAATATTAAAAGCGGTAAAAACACAAGGGATTGTTAACCCAGTTTGGTGTACAATAACACCTACTCTAGGGGCTACCAAGCTAGGGACAAGTCCACTAAATAGTATCAATTCATAGACTCTCAAAAAACAACCAGTTTACGATCTAATCAATTAATCACTACCCGTGATATACTTCTACCTAAGACACACCTAGGCATGAGGCCCTCCTCAAATCCCTTCAATCACTAACAGTGAAAAACAACAGAAATATTAAGTTTTAGAAACCTCAATCATTCAATACTTAAAAGTTTATGAATGATCCACAATTAACAACTCAACTAACAAATTACAACTCAAGTATTAAAAAAATACTATAGTGTATTACAATTAACAGATTCTGACTTCTAAAACAGAAAGAATATATTCTTCTTCAAAAGTTGCAGCACAACGAATAAGGATGCAAGTCCTTATAAAGGCACAACAACGGGCTTGGGATGAAACACAAATATTCCAATAAATTGAATCCCTTGAAAATCTCCATGAAAACAGGCCAAGATAAATTTCAAGAGGATAAGACAGATCAAAAAATATTCCTCCATATTTTTCGCAAGTCATAAACCACAAATCCTGAATAAGGCGCGCTTAAAAACAGGAAACAGAAAATCTGAAGACACGTTCAGATTAACAGGTAGATGTTAAGACATTTGCTTTGACATCGTTTCAAAAATAGTTGATATGTTTTACTACATATGTCAAGACATTAAGCAAAACTTTATCAAAGCATTATTTTACCAAAATTGCTTCCAACAAACACTAACAACCATTGTGCATAAAGTATCCATTTTAGGCAGCATTCTCACAAGAGAAAATTTTAGAAGAAAATTCAGAATCACTTGCATACAAATCCTTGATATGCTCAAGACCAAGCACTTTAGTTTTAAGATTAGAAATCAAGACATGCCTTCTTGAGAGTGCATTTTCCACAAGATTTGATTTACCTTTCTTGTGCTTGATGACATAGGGAAATTGTTCAAGAAACTCAACCCACTTGGCATGTCTCTTATTCAACTTACATTGTCCCTTCAAATGTTTCAAGGACTCATGATCACTATGAATGACAAACTCTTTAGGCAACAAGTAACGTTACCAAGTTTGTAGAGCTCTCACCAAGGAATACAATTCCTTATCATATGTACAATAATTAAGGGCAGTCCCTTTTAGCTTTTCACTAAAATAAGTAATTGGATGACCTTCCTACAATAAAACAACTCAAATTCCACATTAGATGCATCACATTCAATTTCAAAAAATTTAGAAAAATTAGACAAGGCAAGAATAGGTGCTTGGGCGAGCTTTTCCTTTAGGGAAGCAAATGCTTGCTCTTGTTTTTCACCTCATTTAAAACCAACATCCTTTTTAACAATGTCATTGAGGGGTGTTTCCAAAGTACTAAAGTACTTCACAAACCTCCTATAAAATCTAGCCAAACCATGAAAGCTTCTTACCTCACTTACATTTTTGGGAGGAGTCCACTCTAAAATGACTTTCACCTTTTCCTCATCAACATGGACTCCTTTAGACCTCACAATGAAACCTGAGAAAATCACATGATCGGCACAAAAGACTCGTTTTTCTAGGTTGGCGCTTACAAAATAACCCTTAAATGAATGCAATTATCATTTAAGATCTTGCTATAAATCAAAATATCATCAAAATACACAACAACAAACTTACCCAAAAATTCCCTTAACACATGGTTCATTAGTCTCATGAAAGTACTAGGTGCATTATTTAACCAAAAAGGCATAACCATTTTGTTATACCCCGAAGTTTTCCCTCCCCTTTCCTCAAAACATTTCTCACCAAAGATCTCAAATGCTCAAGGGTTCTCAAGAGTTTGATCAAGCAAGTTCACCTCCTAAAGCACTGAGTCCACAAATTAGGGTTTTGGTTTTCTCAAGGACAATTGGACTTTTGATGCCTCAAATTACTTTCATGGTTCATTATAGGTCTCTATTGTACCCCAAAATTTTCCCTTCCATTTTTATTCAAGACACGCTCCTAGAGATCCTAAATTGTTCAAGGTTGACCAAGAATTAACCAGAAAAATTCTCCTCCCAAGCAATGAACTTCCAACTAGGGTTTCACTTTTCACCAAGATGTGTGAGCTCCAAGGGTCCCAAATGTTTTCCATTGTCCTAATATGTATTCAAAAATTTTCATGACAAATTTCATGCCTTACACTATAAATTTGCTCAGTCAACTGCTCAAGTGCTTGAAAATCAACTTTACTAGGTCAAAAGTTAACTGAACTTTGACCAGAATTAACTTTCACATACTTCACCCATTTTGCCCCAGCCAAAGCTTGTTTTGAAGAGAATCCAGTTCCCTACAACTTCTCTTTTATCCTCAAGTTCAAGAAATGCATCATTTGGAAGATACAAGCTCATACATTACAAACTTCCAATACAGAGGGAGGCTACCACAGCTTCTTGAAAGAGGTTCAAATTCAAAACAAATGTTCAAGGCTGAAATTCTGGTGTATGCCAGTCTTCAGATGTTATACTCAATGTCTAGACATCTGATATGACATAATAAATACACTGCAAGGTAGATACCCAATTTTTCGTGATTCAGTACTAAAGTATAACAGAAGCACAGAGGTTGCCACATCTGCTGATGCAGTTCTCGAACAAATAGCTTTGGTTTGTAAACTATCCATTCATAGCCTGATGTCTCAACATTGGTTGCAACATCATCTATCACATACCATGAAACAAACAAACCCCTTAGTTCTGTTTATCATGCACACAAACCAGCATGATATCCATTCATCTCTTTTGACATCATCTGTAACATTCACCCAGATTTATCCAAGCTGCACCAGATATACTTTGAAGGTGTAGAGGATAGAACACACGATGTACCTAGTTCTGTCCATCTGGTACACATGATCAGCAGAGAGCAAACAACCTTCACAGTTCTGTTTCTCCTACACAGATATCAGCATGATGTCTTAACATGTTCTGAGACATCATCTGTTACACCATTACAGTTTTACCTTGATATATAACAGACAGAATTATAAAGTGTTGAAGGTAAAAACACAATCAATTGTTAACCCAGTTCGGTGAAACACACCTACTCTGGGGGCATACCAAGCCAGGAAGAAGATCCACTATCAGCAATATTAATTCAGGACTAAACTTCACAAGTTCCCATCCCTCACTTAATCATCTACCCAGTGCAACCTATACCTAGGAACTCCTAGATAGAAACCTACCAGTTTCCATTCCTATTGCCGCAACAACAGAAGTCTTACTCCTACTCAAGAAGTAGTGCCCTCCCACTTGGTTTCCTACATTACAATGAATATGAAGTAATGCAAAAATACTTAGACTTGCTTCACAACTTCGTCCAAGAACACTCAAACTCTTACCTACAGGTATCGAGTTACACACAACTAACTTGACTCTGCTTCACAACTTTAGTCAAGGAACATTCAAACACTCTTGCTTCAAAGCTTTGAGTGATGCACACAACCCTTACAATTAGAAACCTATTCCAAGTCACTTATCACAATGATAATTGCTTGGAGTACAATAATCAAACCTATACAGATTACAAATGATCTTTTGATCCATCAAGGGGATGCACTGCAAAACAGCAGCTCTGTTGAATATATAGCAGCTGCAACTTCAGTTAGGGTTTCCACAAAAACCTAGGGTTAATTCCGTTTGACCTAAAGACCAGGTCACAGGACTTTATTAACCAGGTTAGGGTTGAGCTAGGTTACCCCTCAGAAAACGCAGGATTCTGTTCTGGAAAGACTGAGTTATTTTCCTGAAAAAACTCAGACTTATCCAACCTGCATACCTGTTAGTTCAGAACAGGATGTCATAACATCTGTTATGACATCTGAGAAAACCTGTCTACTGATTTAGAAAAATGTGATCATTTTGCAAACTGCTCAGATACACACTTATAAACATCAGTACTTCAATTACAATATTTTTCTGCAAAGGTACCTAACAAGCTGAACTAGAATGTTATGACATCAGTCATGACATTCACATATACACTTGGGATTTACCAAAAATGCAAGCCAATACCTAAACACCTACAAACTCCCCCTTTGGCAGATTTTTGGCTAAAGACCCTAAACAATCAGAGATAGATAGCAGTAGAAATAAGTGACAGCAGAAAAATACAATGTCTAATTGCAAGTACTAATTAAGTAAGTACCAAAATATTCTCCCCCTCTTTAGCCACAAATGGGCCAAAGATTATTAGATGACAAGTTATCACCTAAACATTCCAGCTCACTAAAATGCTTCATAATGAGACACACACGCCCTGTTTTCTTAGCAGATGAAAACATGCTCAAATCCTATGTCGTCATACATTCTGCTATTTTCATATTAGCAGCTTGAAACCATTCCATTTACAAAGAGGATGGTTACTCCCTCTGAGTCATATAATAATCCACACTTCATCCAATTTTCCTCCTGTCTGTAGTTTTTTTTTTTTTGAGGAAATTAGGAACAATGTCATTCAGTCTTGAACACATCATCCCAATAGTTAATAAAGTGCCACACTTTATATCCTACGAGTTTGATGAAGACTTTTCGTACAAACCAATACTCCCCCTGTTAGGGACAATCACTTCTCCTCATGGAAACAAGTAGGTCACATTCAATACTCAGTTGGATCTTCAAGACAACTTCTGATTCAAAGTAAATAAGACCCCTTGATGAATGGAAAACATAAGACGCATCTTCATGTCTTCAAGAGCGCACCCTCTGTTCAACAATATTGGTTGAGCGCATTCATACTCTGAATCAAACTTTCTTGATAATAATCAGCTGCCCCATGTTGATTATCTTGATTCTCTGAATCCACTGCTGAGATAGACCAAATGCCACTGTTTGATTATCTCCTTCATGAATCCTCATATGAAAAAAAATCAAATGCCACCTTTTGACTTCTCCATGTTTATCAGTCTTCTCCCAAAGATATTCTGATCTTCCAATTGAAATTTGAACTTCAAGCTACAAGTTATCACAAAAGGCTTAGATACACTAAGACAGGAACATGTAACATCTTCTCCACCCAACAACTCCAAAGAGCTGCAAAGAGACGATCTTTTTGAAGTATCCAATCTTCAACTTCGTAGATCATCCTATCTTAAGTTGATGTGCCACTTCACCAACCAAGAATCTGATGTTGAACCAAATGTCACAACATTATGTTATAACATCTAGTTGTTGAATTCAGCTCCTTCTCTAATTTACTTCCTTACCTAGATCAGAACCAGACTGATCCAAGTAACCATCATCAAGATTATGATGTCTTCTTCTTCTTGTAGCTTCAAGTCTGAACACGTTTCCAGGAAACCTTTTCAAGGTCAAATGATTTTGCTGTCACCAAAGAGATAGCTCTAAAGCATCACTCTTCCTGTGATTCTTCACAGGGTCTAGAAGAAGGAATGTTCCCACATCTTTAAGAACATCAGTTATCTTGAACTCCAAGGATAATCAATTAAATACTTGTACTTGTCACAAATAGCAATCGATCATAAATCCTTCCCATTATCCTGTAAGATACTTTCACCATTTGAATACTTTGACATACTCTTCGTGTTTTAATATCTTCTTCTTGCAAGCACTTTCTTTGAGAGACCAAAGAGTTGAGATATCTAGGTTGCCACCCTTGACTCAAGTAAATAGAATTTTCTCTGAACAAACTCTACTCACCTTAACAGATTTGAAACTCCTACCAGATCAGATTCATCCTTAAGAATGAGAGAGATGAATCCTTCCTTGCAAATATGTCACACAACACCCAGAACCCATGTGACACAGGTCAACAGCCAGCTAAACACCAGGCTGAACTAATGTGAGGAGGTTAACCAAATCTCCCCCTCAAACTACCAATCATGGAAGCTCCACAAAATATCCATGCATTGTACACAAATGTCTCGACATGACATATGACATCCCTACCAGATTCAAGTAACTCCAAGAGTTATACCTGTTCATACTCCAATCACACCAATCAGACTTCAGCAGATACTACCTTAACCAAACTCTGAGTCTTCATATTCTCACATCTTGAAAGATCTTCCACTTCTAATCATGATGTTTAAATGACAAGATTCATGATCCCAATCTACTTCTATGAAGGAGCAATAATGATGCACCATCATTGACTTTTATTAACCAATGGGCTTGTCTTTCTTCACACCATAGTATTCCAGGGAACAACTGCTCAGCCCTGATCAATCTTCAGGAATAAGCCCACCAATAGGGATTGCACAATGTCACATCTCAACCAGCTCCACTTCTAGAGTTCTGACTTCTAAAAGTAACCTTCGGGAGCACACAGACATAGTTGACTCTACCATTGTCAACTTTGCACACACAGATGTCTCCTCTTCCAGGCCAGGAGTAGGTTCCAAACAAAAGTATCCCTTTGTTTGACACCCAAAACATATGCTCTTCAACTAGTAGCTGCATACTTGTTGAACACATGTTCCACCATCACATAGAACATCAGTTCCATCACCTTGGAACAAAACCCTCCTTGAAATTCTTCAAGGTCTTCGTATAACACTACTCAAGAGAGTAAGGGAATCAGTGATTATGTGATTCTTACCATCGAAGAACGTCTTCATGAGTGGACTTGAGAGGACTCAAGTATCTATGACATCTTCAATAGCTTATGTTGAAATCTTGAATACAGTAGCCTTCAATCCACAAGAGGGGAAACACATCAGAGCTTGAGTTTTGCCAAGTATTATGCAGCGGAAGAACATAATACAACTCAATCTTTGCACACACACTCCACCAGACTAGCCTTCAAAAATAGACCAAGTTTGACTATGGTTCAAACCTAGCATGACTACTACACACAACTTCAGGCGTACACACATCCTAGGTTTGAAAATAAATCAAACCTAGAGCAGCTACCTCACAACCAGGCCAAATGCCAATCACCAAAGACAGGTACACACAGTTCCTGTCATGAATAGTCCATCCTCCCACTTCAAGGGACCATTCAGGGAAATAACAAACCTTTCCAGGTTACAATCTTTAGTACTAAAATTGACCTTGCAGATACCAGAAAGTATCACCCATGGATCTCATCCAGAAACAGTCAGGATGCCTGCTCTGATACCAATTGAAATTCTGGTGTATGCCAGTCTTCAGATGTTATACTCAATGTCTAGACATCTGATATGACATAATAAATACACTGCAAGGTAGATACCCAATTTTTCGTGATTCAGTACTAAAGTATAACAGAAGCACAGAGGTTGCCACATCTGCTGATGCAGTTCTCGAACAAATAGCTTTGGTTTGTAAACTATCCATTCATAGCCTGATGTCTCAACATTGGTTGCAACATCATCTATCACATACCATGAAACAAACAAACCCCTTAGTTCTGTTTATCATGCACACAAACCAGCATGATATCCATTCATCTCTTTTGACATCATCTGTAACATTCACCCAGATTTATCCAAGCTGCACCAGATATACTTTGAAGGTGCAGAGGATAGAACACACGATGTACCTAGTTCTGTCCATCTGGTACACATGATCAGCAGAGAGCAAACAACCTTCACAGTTCTGTTTCTCCTGCACAGATATCAGCATGATGTCTTAACATGTTCTGAGACATCATCTGTTACACCATTACAGTTTTACCTTGATATATAACAGACAGAATTATAAAGTGTTGAAGGTAAAAACACAATCAATTGTTAACCCAGTTCGGTGAAACACACCTACTCTGGGGGCATACCAAGCCAGGAAGAAGATCCACTATCAGCAATATTAATTCAGGACTAAACTTCACAAGTTCCCATCCCTCACTTAATCATCTACCCAGTGCAACCTATACCTAGGAACTCCTAGATAGAAACCTACCAGTTTCCATTCCTATTGCCGCAACAACAGAAGTCTTACTCCTACTCAAGAAGTAGTGCCCTCCCACTTGGTTTCCTACATTACAATGAATATGAAGTAATGCAAAAATACTTAGACTTGCTTCACAGCTTCGTCCAAGAACACTCAAACTCTTACCTACAGGTATCGAGTTACACACAACTAACTTGACTCTGCTTCACAGCTTTAGTCAAGGAACATTCAAACACTCTTGCTTCAAAGCTTTGAGTGATGCACACAACCCTTACAATTAGAAACTTATTCCAAGTCACTTATCACAATGATAATTGCTTGGAGTACAATAATCAAACCTATACAGATTACAAATGATCTTTTGA